GAGCTCTGTAAGCCACAGAGTGAAACTGATTAGGATTTTACAGTCCTGGTGATTTTCCTTCTGGTGTTCCACCAAGAAAAAGCTGTAGCACAAGGAGCTGATGAATCATTTTGCAGGGCTTTTGTTTTCTGTTTCACGTTTGAAAAATTAGGAATGGTCGTGAACATGGGAACGAATGCCTAATATCAGGAGGACATTACAACCATAAAATAAAATCATCAGTGTTAGCGTTGGTCTCTAATAAATGTAATAATATAGTGTGTGCTTTTTTTTTTTTAAAGCAGACTGTTCCCCAGAGAATGTTCATTCATGTAAAATTTCACTTCTGTAAATTTTTAATTGCTTTCACTGGGGCTGACTAAAATTACTGAGCACCTGCTGCTTGGTGTCTGGCATGGTCCTGGGGGCCTTATACCTGTTAGACCATTAAACCACCACAGCAGGCTCATAAGGCATAGGTGTGGATTCTTCTGTTTTACTGAAAAGAGGTTGAAGTTGAGCGTGTTTAAATGGTTTTTGCTATTATGATTCCCAGCTAGGAAGTGTCAAAGCTAGAACTTGATTCCTCTTAGTCTGACTCAAACTACAGAGGCTCCCCAATTGGAGGGAGACAGAAGAAGGACATGAGGCTTCATTTTGTATTTAGAGATTGATTTGATTGAAAAATAAAGTCAACTGATGTTGGTTGCTGGGAATTAATTCAGCCTAGAACTGAGTATAACCTCTGGCAAGGAGCTGGTTTCTGTCACCTAGCACTGCCAGCTCCGAAGGGGGCCCTGATCATCAGTAATGTCATTGCCCCACAGTACGGTATTTTGGGCCATAGTCTATAGTTCCCCTAGCTTTCTTGAGGTACCAGTGACATGGATGTTTTATCTTCTTATTCTTGGCATTTTATTCAGGGCCATGATTTCCAAAGCTGAGACACTGGCTGGGATCCAACAGCTGTCACTTGTTCCTGTTACATACTTCCCCACCGATACTTGCTCACATTCTAATACTATGAGAGGTTCTTAATCTGAGCTCTCCTTTCTTCTCTCTATCCTAAATATTGCATATAGAGTAACTTTTTGAAAATACTAATTCTACCTTAAAATGGTATTGTGCATCATCCTCTATGGTTCCATTTATGTAATGTTCTTGAAATAACAAAATTATAGAGACAGAAGTTAATGTCTGCCTGGGATTAGGCACATTGGGGGAAGGGGACAAGTGTGCCTTGGAAAGGGTAGAATGAGGAAGATCTGTGAATAGTTCTGTGCCTTGATTTATGGGATGCCTGTGTGACAGTGACATAGAACCACACACTAACTTTACACTAATGTCAGTTTCCTGGTTTTGTTAATATGCAAGTAATGGGGGAAACTGGATAAAAGATACTATGTGCAATTCAAAAAGTAAAAAAAAAAAGTGTTTTAAAATGGCAGCTTCCTTTGTAATATGTCTCCTATTCTTTTTCCCTCTGAAATAATCATACAATGTTATCTGAGTTGATTTTTTTTTTATTTGGGGTAATTTATTTATTTATTTATTTATTATTGTTTTATTATTCATATGTGCATACAAGGCTTGGGTCATTTCTCCTCCCTGCCCCCACCCCCTCCCTTACCACCCACTCCGCCCCCTCCTTCTCCCCCCCACCCCCTCAGTACCTGGCAGAAACTATTTTGCCCTTATCTCTAATTTTGTTGTAGAGAGAGTATAAGCCATAATAGGAAGGACCAAGGGTTTTTGCTGGTTGAGATAAGGATAGCTATACAGGGAGTTGACTCGCATTGATTTCCTGTGCGTGGGTGTTACCTTCTAGGTTAATTCTTTTTGATCTAACCTTTTCTCTAGTTCCTGGTTCCCTTTTCCTATTGGCCTCAGTTGCTTTTAAGGTATCTGCTTTAGTTTCTCTGCATTGAGGGCAACAAATGCTATCTAGTTTTTTAGGTGTCTTACCTATCCTCACCCCTCCCTTGTGTGCTCTCTTTTTTATCGTGTGCTCAGAGTCCAATCCCTTGTTGTGTTTGCCCTTGATCTAATGTCCGCATATGAGGGAGAACATACGATTTTTGATCTTTTGGGCCAGGCTAACCTCACTCAGAATGATGTTCTCCAATTCCATCCATTTACCAGCGAGTAATAACATTTCGTTCTTCTTCATGGCTGCATAAAATTCCATTGTATATAGATACCACATTTTCTTAATCCATTCGTCAGTGGTGGGGCATCTTGCTGTTTCCATAACTTGGCTATTGTGAATAGTGCAACAATAAACATGGGTGTGCAGGTGCCTCTGGAGTAACCTGTGTCACAGTCTTTTGGGTATATCCTCAAGAGTGGTATTGCTGGATCAAATGGTAGATCAATGTTTAGCTTTTTAAGTAGCCTCCAAATTTTTTCTGTTTAACATTATTTGACAGTAACAGAATTTTGGGTTTATTCCATGTTACCAAAAAATGTTTCTTGAGTAAATTGAACCGCTAAACAGTGTATCAGTACTTGCTTTGAGTAGAAATCATCCTTTTTGTCTCTGCCTAAACACTTCTCAGCTATGAGGAAATGTGCTGGAGATTTCACTGGTAGGTACTTGGGGACTTGGCTTCCCTGGGAGGGACCTTGCAGCTAGCCACAGTTGCAGAGTTCTAAAGTCCCGTCACAAATTCTAAAAGGCCCTGACTTTTTAAGGACTTAAGACTTTAATCTAGATTGAGCCAGGAAACCCAGGCTATCTACTATGGTAAGTAATGTCCATCTACCCATACAAATTTACTGAGACTCAGAGCTCAGCATACAATTTATCTTGGTTACTGATGTCTATGAAAATCAGCTTTTGATCTTCTGACTCTGATAAGTTGCATGCATGTTTATATTGGTATGCTTGTTCAGTGTATCTGTTTCGTAACATTCAGTGCCTTTATGATTATGGTTAGATTCAATATTCATTGCTGTTTGCTTTCTTCTATTGATTGTTGTACTGAGGGTAGTTGAATTCACCCCCCCACCCCCATTATTCTCTTTTTTACTATTTGCTTTCTCTCTCTCTCTCTCTCTCAGGGTTATATATAGCTCCAAAATTAGTTTTAGAACTCCATTGTATTTATTGATCACCATGCATGGTAACTCATGCCTATAATCCAAGCACTTGGAAGGCTGAGTCAGGATATGCTGTGTTCAATTAACCTTAAAAAAAAAAAAGTGAAAAGTGAGACATGGTCTCACTATGTATGCCTCAAACTTGTACTTCTTCTGCCTTATGATGAGTTCTGGGATTATAGGCTGCACCACCACCACGCCTGGCTCTATTCACCTTTTCTAGCCAGTTGTATGTAAGAATGAGGGAGCACATGTGCACACATACGCTTGTGCTAGGTATGCATTACATAGCCTTAACTTCATTTATTAGAGTTCATATTACACCAATTCGCATTTCACCTGTTCCTGCTATTATGCTATACTATATTTACATACAGTCTAATTCCATGATGGAGGTGGTACAGTCATATCTATTTTTTAAAGTGATAATAGAAAAATAGTGTTCTATACATATAATTTCTTGTGTACTTCATTCCTTTCGAATATTTAAATTTCCACCTAATGTCATTCAACCAGAAGAACTTTTTTTAGGATCTGGTTGGTCGTCTGTGGGTAAATTTTTAAAATTTTTCCCTATCTGAAGAATTATTTGCCTTAATTTTTGATGGATATATGGGCTGGCCATAGAGTTCTGGGTTGATACTTGTCCTACCACCAATCATTACTTCCTTGTATGTAATGTGTCACTTTTCTCCCTCTGACTTCTTTTAAATTTTTTTATTTGATTTTAATTTGATTTTTTATCTGACTATGCATACTGGGGAGTAAATTATTTTAAGCTTAGTTTGGTGTTTCTGAACTGCTTCAGTCGTGTCTGAATTGAGGAAAAAAAATCTCCTCAATTTTTTTCCCACATTATTGTCTTTTTCTTGATCTTTCCTTGGTCTGCTCCAATTAAACAAGTGTTTGCTCTTTTGTGAGTGAACCAGTCCTTGATGGTCTATTTTTGTTTCTCTTCCTCAGGTTGGATTTTCCTTCACTTCCCTAAGTATACTAACTACCAAAGTGTTTCAAGGTCATTGTGGGCTAATTGCAACACTTGGCTTGTCTTTTCCTTTGGGCATAGATTATATCTCCCTCAGGGTGCATGTATTAAGTAATTTTGGATTATCTAATACGGATTCAATTAGTGAATAAATCTGTATTGCCTGTTCCTTTGAAGAGAAGGTGATTTTTGGTTTTTTAACAGTTAGGTAATTAAGCTGAACTAAACTAAATTTTAACTTTCTGTGGCCAGTTGCTATTCCACTGACCTGTTCAAATAACTGATGTTGATTATGTGCTGTGAATGTGCTAAATTGGTGACTGTGCTACAAATATAGATACAGACCCCTCACATCAAGGCACATGCAGTCTTATGAATAAATATTTGTGCCACACTCCCATATGTTATATAAGATAAATTCACAGAAGCAGTGGGAAATCTGAGAAAGGAATTGTTAAAATTCAATTTAAAAAAATTCTGAACTAATTCAATCCTCAGAATAGAAGGTAGTTTACTTGATATATGTAATGGTGATGGAAGATTGGATGAGGAAGAGTAACTATTGTGTTTTCATCAAAGTTTGTTAATTCAGTTTTATCTAGCATGTGAGAGACATTATACACTCACACATAGCTATATTCTTGAATGCTAGAAGATCCATCCATACTGAAAACCTGGTCACTTGGGGGAAGGCCTCTCAAAACGGTTCTGAAAAGACCCATTTGAACTCATCAAAAGTATCTCTCAGAAACCCCTATGTTTCCTATGTCAGATATGAAAAGGTTTTCTAATCTGTTTTGAATATTGTCTATTCTTATATTTGTTTAAGTGAGTGGGTGCTATGGGGTTGGTTTTCTTTTTGTGAAAATATGTCTACCTTCACAGTAACTAGAGCCTTTTTTTCTTTCTTTCTTTTTTTTTCCTATTTTAACAGTGTATCCTACTCAGTACATGTATCTGAAGATTACCCAGGTATGTTTTCCTTCTTTTAAATCTTTATTATGAATATTTATTCCATGACTTCTTTGAAAACTTTTTTCTTCTGGAGATGTAAAGCTTGTGACAGATAGATACTCTGGAGATTCTGTCTGACAGATCTGAAAGATACAGAACTGTTGACTGCTTGTGAGACATAACCCATGTCTCACAGAATTAGAATGGCTTCTTAATGAAGAGTCATTCACATGAACTCGTCTTACAATTTCAGCTTGTATCTTTACATGACAACAATTAAATGCAGATTATCTGAACTGGTCTAGTTGTCAGTTTTGGGACAGTATTCTGCTTTTCATAATGTAAAAATATAGCTAACGGTCATTTGGTTCAGTAGTTTCTTTCTGTGTACATTTATATAAATGTATGTATGTATATGTGTATATACTTGATTTTATTTTAAAAACAGTTCGTAGTTGGGTATTGGAATATTACAAACCTCAGTTCTTTTAGCACTCAAGTTGAGTATTTTTTTATTTTAGGCATTTATCCTTTTACAAGTTTAAAATGTTACATTTGTCTTTTAAAATTTAAATTTATTTAAAAGTATTTTTTCTTTTTTGATAAAGGGTCACATTATGCAGCCTAGACTGTGCCTCCCAGAGCTGGGATTATAGACGTTTCCCCATGCACAGCTTAAATGTTACATTTTTAAAATGATATCTCTTCCTCCCTTGCCCCCACCCCTTGTGGTACTGAGGATTGAACTCAAGGGCTTATGTCTGCTAGGCCAGTTCTTCACCACTTGAAGCCCCTAGTCCTTTTTCATTTTTTAGTTTGTTTTTCAGATAAAATCTCCCACTGTTGGTCTAGTTGGCCTGGAGCTGTGATTCCTCCTACTCCACCTGCCACATTTTAAAATAATTTCTTAAATCGTAAACTTTCTACATGTTTTAAGTATAATATTCGAACAGTGGGCATTTTCATTATTAAGAATGTGATATTAAAAGTATTAACTAAGTTTTACTGGAAGAACCGTGATAAGCATTCAGCCTTTTTTTATTGTGGGATTGTATGTTTATGATGCTGAATCTTTTGTCAATTATGCTTGGAAAATAAAAGTCAGCTACTTACTGAAAGTATAATTATTGTACTTCTCAGTTAGGCATCGTGTAGATGTCAGCCATGAGAGGTCTAGGACTCCAGAAAGTCAGCTCAGTAGAAATGGTACCACAAATGAAAGCCCAGCTTAAGGAGGCCACGTGAATATGTCAGGGAACATGTGGTGGAAGATGCTCTTGGTAAATGAAACCGACCAAGTTCTTAGCTCCCTCTGGTGGCCAAGAGGCATTATTGGCCTTTCCTCACTTGATGGGAGCCCCACTGAGATATATAAGTTGATTCTGTGTAAAAATTGAAAACCAGTGAGTATTTATTTATTATTGCAGTGCTAGGGAGCACAGGCCTCTATCGCCAGCCCTTTAATAACTGGAATTTTAAATAAAGCATTGGTTATCATTTGTGCTATTTTTACTGAATTCACTTTTCATTTCCAAAGAGAAAGGAGTATAAAATTAGAGAATTTTGGCTTAAATACTGGGGCAGCACTTTGAATTGGTGGATCCATGTAGTCTGTGCGGTGGGCAAAAAGGGGAAATCATGACATTCAGACGAGTAATATTTCCCAAGTTCTTATTTCTGGGGAAGAAGTAGCATTAGTGTTTTTATGGTGTTTTCTTTCTTTCTTTTTTTTGGGGGGAGATTTTAAAAATAATTTTTATTATATACCATCAAATCTTGATGAAGAGGTTTAGAAATATGTATATATTTACTTTTTTAAAAATGTGAATTAAGACAGAAGGCTATGTAAGTAGAGACTGATATAGATGACCAGAAGGTTCTCTAGTGAGCTCAAATTTCTTTAAAATGTACAAACTTGAAAAAAAACTTTTCTCTAAAGTGTTAGTTACTATGATAATATTCTTCCATTATTAAATTTTAATCCTCGTTTACTTGTACTAAGAGTTGTTATTTAATATGTTTGACTTTTCAGATAGTCAGTATTTTATAGAAATCCAATATGAATTTTGAATATTTTATATGAATCCAATGTTCAATGTGAATTTTGAATATTTTATATGAATCCAATGTTCATACCTGTGTACTCCCCCTGGCACCACAATAGATATGAAAGCTGGCAGCTTTCTTTCTTCTCAAAATAAGCATGCTTGCAATTGCTTTAAAAAAATTCCTTTTCTCATTTATTACTTTTTAAAAATTTATGAGTATTAAATCTTCATCAAATTGTTATTTGGCATCTGTTTGATGTCTACTTTCTCCTTAGATACTAAGGTGACAATTTCCATTATTTGCATTTTATCATATACTTTGGTATAATAGAACTAAACTGCTCTTTGAGAACCTGATAGAACTAGCAAGGAAATCCATCAGAGTTTGATATCTTTTCTTAAGGATGGTTCTGGGGCAGCTGTATTTTTCTGCCATGATTATTGATCTAGTCTGTTTTTAATTTCTTTGTCATTTTTAAGCATGTGTTCTTAAAAGTCACTATGTTGTTGAAATGTCCCTTTTTTTTTTTTAGCAAAAAATATAGTGTTTGGTTTATAATTGTCAAAATAATCTTTTGTGCATATGATTATTTCTCCAACCTCATTTCTTTTGTTTACTTTTGTTGTAGAAGGGTTCAAATGATAGAGCACCTGCTTAGCAAGCATGAGACCCTGAGTTCAAACCCCAGTACCACTGAAATATTTTTTTAAAAGTTTGTGTATTTAAAAAATTCTGTCAAACATGTTGCTTTCTTTGCCATTGCATTTTAATTCTAAATGCAGTAATCTTGCAATTAACATTCATTCCTTCTGGTAGTGATCCTTAGGGTTATTTTTTTCTATCTTTCTGGATTGTATAGCTCAATGATTAGCTCATTGTCTAGGCTTGGAAGCAGGAGACTTTCTTTGCCCTCTTGGAATGTATCAGTCAGGATTTTGTTCCTAGGAACAGATGTCATTTCATAGTTTAGAGTCTTTATTGAGTTAGGTATTCATAATGACAGATGTAAGTATAATATTAAATGATAGGTTTATTCTTTAAAATCAAGTGAAGAAACGAGTAGCCTTCTGGCTTGTTTATACTCTGTGAATTTTACAGTGAAGATGATTTTTTGTTGTTGTAATGGATTTGAAAATAGCATATATATTACAAGTCACAGGTTGGCTCTGCTACAACAAAACAGCAGAAGTCTTTAATTCTCACCTATTCTGTTCTCACATTTAATTAGAAGGCACACCAAGCATTGGGAGTGAATTCCCTCAAATCTACTATATGTCTTACTGGAATCTAGAAGAAAGAAGTGGTGGTTTCTGGGTTCTCTGTTGCCTGTACACAGTGTCTTGACTGACAGGTGACAAATGTGAGCACTGTGTGTAGCTGTGTGAATAATAAGTGAGAAGTAAAATCCTACAGTTTGTATCAAAAAAGAACCTATAAGTTGTAATTGTTTTTATACTAAATAGGCATTTTTTTGAGTGATACTATTTTCTATATTTAAAATAAGCAACATAGTGACAAAATTAGATTAAAAAAGATTTAAGCTTTACTGCTTATTACTTGTGCAATTAATTGTTTAATTTATTTCTCTGATTTATCTTTAAAAAGGATAATAATTGGCTTGGGAAGTTACATGAAATTACACAGAAAATTCAGAGAAAACATCTAGAATAGATTACAGAATCAATGTACTATTATTTATAATTGTAGTGATCATTTCTTTTAAGTTACATAGTAATTGAGAGTGGAATGACCTGAGTTCAATTATCCTGCTTTTGAAATTGAATAAAACCAGTAGTTGAAGAGATGCTTTTCTTTCTCCCCACTGTTCCATACGAATTTCTGGTTGCAGTGTTTGCAGTGACCTTTAGGCAAGAGAAGAGAAAATACTCATTTTGATAACAGCTTTACCAAAAGTCTATAGGTCTTCTATGAAACATAGACTTAGGCCTATTTATATCTTTCTTGCACATCTTTAAAAAACGATGGTGTTTTCACAGATGACAAAGGCAATTTGAAAAGAGTTAGATTTAAATAACCAAAAAGTAGAGAAAATGCTCAAAGATCATTAGCCAGTCTCCTCATTTCATAGCTGAGACTGTGGCTTAAGGTAAAGGGGATCCTTGACTAGTTTGTGTCTGTATGTAGATTTTCAAGGTAGACGATGGTGGTGATTTGATATAAATGTTTACATGCAGGGACGTTTTGTATTGATATCACAATCTGTTTCACACATCCACCATCACCCCTGCTGAATGTTAGAGACCCCTGGGACTGAAGGATTGCACCCTTTGACTGACAGCTCTGTTTCCACCCACCCCACTACCCTTGTGACCTTCTGTTTTACACCATGCTTCTTTTAGTGTAACTTTGTTAGATTTCATTTCTGTGTTTCTGTTTCTGCTTATGTCCTCCAGGCTGAATAGAATATTCCATTGTGTGCTCTTAGCATAATTTGCTTATCCAGTCAACTGTTACTGGACATATAGCCATGGTGAATAGTGCTACAATGCATGTGAGGGGTTGACATCCCTTAGAAATACTGACCTCATTTAGCAAACCCAGAAGTGGGATTGATAATCTGGTTAACCTAGAAGAAATGCTCAGGTTCCTAAAACGTGCAGCCTGCCAAGTCAGAATCATGAAGAAATGGAAACTCAAATGAGTAATCAAAAACTTCCAAATAATAGAAAAGCCCTGAAGCAGAATGCATTGTGAATGAACTCTCCTAAACATTTAAAGAACTATTGCTGGTCTTTGCTTAATTTTATCCCAAACCATTAGAGTGGCATCGAGACGTGATGTATTCTCTACTCTGCTACATTTCTGATCAGAACTTGGATACATTCTGTGGTCTAATTTGGCCTATTATGTCAGAATGGTAATTAAATACATGGTATCATAAATCCTGAGACTTTTTGATTTGGGGCGCACTTAAGCTGAAACCAAAAATTAAAAGTGTGCTAATGTCAAAATATGAACTGGTAGAAAATCTCTTACAAAATATTTGAAGGTTGAGTCCTGACCTTCAGCATTGCACAATGCATAGGTACCAAATTATGGGCCCTTGAATCAAATTGTAGTGCCTTCTATTAACTTTACTACTTTGTGAAGCTGCTGATGGTGAAGGTGATATTTTGCTTTTTTGGGGTGGGTAAATTAGCAAATAGTTGTATATATTACTTGATTGAAGCTTTTTTTAAATAGGAAGATCCTATAAGCTGAATTAATTTTCTGTGTTCTTAAGCATGCAAAATCCCCATTATTTCTTGGTGCTGTGAACCGCATGATCCTGTACTTCTGTTGCTGTAATTCTCTTTTTCTTTTTTTTCCTCATTTTAAAATTTTTTGATGCAGGGGACATCAGCAGCAGATCCTTGTATGATAATCGATACTAAAGTAATGTTGATTATAACTAATATTTTTATAAAGGATAGTTATTCAAGTTACTGTGTCTTTAATCATATTTCTTTTCAGATAATACATATGTGTCAAGTTCAGAAAACGATGAAGATGTGTTAGTAACTACAGAGCCAATTCCTGTAATTTTTCATAGAATAGCAACAGGTAACAGCAATGCCACATTTTTCTTATCCTGAATTAATTTGTCTTGATTGTAGGTAGTTTCACTGTTGCTCTTTGTTTTTCTTAGCTGATATAGCAAATACCTATCTTTACCTTCTGTAAATGTGGATCTTCATATAAATTTTATATCGTAAACATACTGGTTTTTTTTTTTCAATAATTTGTATATGGCTCTTATAAACCATTTCCCTTTGTAGTGACAATACTGAATATAAAATTACACTTAGGGCAATAAAGTATGTACTGACAGTTGGAAAAATCTGTGCGCTGTATCTTTAGTTGGATCACATTCTTACACACAATAAGAAACCAGGAAAATTGACTTACTGTCTAACTCCCCAAGATGATACAATTTCCAGATACCCCTTAATTCTTTTGCAAAAGAGAGGGAATCACAGAAACTTATGAAAGTTTGGGGGAAAAAAAATGATGAAAACTAAAATATTTCTTAATTTGTAACTTTCTTTCAGAATTACGAAAAACAAATGATATTAACTGTTGTTTATCTATAAAGTCCAAATTGCAAAAGGAAAATGGAGAGGTATGTAAGAGATGTTTTTTGTGTTTTGAAAACAGCACAGATGTGTTTTAAATTTACCATGTATTTGTAGTTAACATCTCATTTCAATTTAAAGTTGCATGTGGTGTCACTCAAGCTCAAGAATGACCCAAAATCAACTCTGAGAAGGAGTTGCTCTCAAGACATTTAGCTCTAAATAAGACATAAACACAACATAATTTATTCATATTCTTTAATAAAATAATGTAGTTGATAGAAGAGCACTTATAGCTTCCTCCCCCCCCCCAATATTGGGTGCTTACAAACACAAATTCATCTATTTTCCATAAATACAATGCCATTAAACAAACAAAAGAAATGCAACGGGACTAACTATCCTTTTCTTGAAAGCTGTTCATGATTCTTCCCCTTTTTTATCCATAGTGAGAATCACTGCTTGAATAAAACTGATACCAAAAATAGATTAGAATTTCATAAAACCCAAAACCCAAAGTCGTTTAATTTCCTTAAGAAACATCAGATGAATGGAGTCTTACATTCAAAAGATACCACCTCCCCTCCCCATCCGCTTTTGACTTTGCTAGTAAGGCCAGTAATAGGAATGTCACCATAAATTTTCATTATTTGAACTTCAGACATATAATGGAGTTCAGTTAATTAAACACTCAGACAGGCATATTAATTTTAATACCCTTTTGTATTCTGAATTCTAAGACAGCTAATTTTTATATCCTGAAAGTTCTCTTTATAATGTGATTTGTATTTCTTGTCATAACTTGATTTTTTATTATTGCATTCAAAGTTTTTTTGGCTTCATGCTGTTGTTTCAAGTTGGCAGTGGAAGTGAGAATAATCTTGGATAAATAATACAGAGGAACTTTTTAATAAAAGCTGATGCTATAATTGATTATTCAGAAGTACATAAAATATTAAATTGCAAATATTATCAGTCAAAGATTTGCTTTATAAAGAGCTAAATACATCCACAAACAAAAGGTAGAATTGTACCATACCAAGAATGAGTCTTGTGAACTATTTCCCTGGACAGGCCTCCAACACCAGTCATCAAAATCTTAGTAGCTAGGATTATAGGCATAAACTACTGATGCCTGGCAGAATGTTTTATATTGCTATTTTATTTTCAAAAGAAGGAAAAACTGTTTTGACCATTAAAATGGTCTTGCTTTATTTTTTAAGGAGTCTAGACAGAACAGCACAGTGGAAGAAGATTCCGAAGGAGACAATGATTCTGAGGAATTTTATTATGGAGGACAGGTAAGTAAATCTGTCTTCCAGGGATCCATTCTCAGCATTCTAATTGCCGTGTCTGCCTTAGTGCATGCCCAAGAGTTAAGAAACCCCAGGTGTCCATGGTTCTGTAAGTTGCTAAAAAATCTGAATACTTTATCTGTTTTTCATTTTCTACATAGTTTTCAGAAATTAAGATTACCTTTGCAAATCCTTTTTTTTATGTAATCATTCATTTACATTGAAGTTATCTAAATTGCTTTACAGAAATTGTATAGTATTTTATTATGATTGGGACGTTCACGTTTCTTAAGCATATTGCTTGAATATTTTGAAATGATGGCACTGTTTTAAATTGAGGACACTCAATTATTAGGTTTCAGTGAGAGATGGTTTATCTTTATACAACTCAGTGGGCCCTAATAATAATTAGTGAGCATCCTCCTTGTTCATTTGTGTTGAGAAATTGTTCTGAAGAAATGTCATAATTTAAGCTGCATATGTGAAGTAGCTGCACACTTAATCTTAGGGTGTGGCTGTTCACTTTGCTGTTCTGTTTCTGTAACCTTCTTGATCAAGGTTATTTATGACTTGGGCATGATACCAAGAGGATAATATGATAAGGAGGGTCATGAAAGCCAAAGTTATCACATAAAAAATGCATGTAACTATTCATTCAGAATAGAAAACAAGTTGTTTGTAAAGTTTATGTACAAAGCAGCAGTTGAGTGGACATGGTAAAAGTAATTTTCATCTCTCCAAGAATAGAGTTCTAGCAAGGTGATTTCTCAATGAAATGGATCTTTATCCAATAGAACCCTTGATTTAAAATAATTCTTCCAAGATTGATTTTTGTTCACAGAACTAATTTTTGCAGAGAGGAAGCAAATGCTTTTCTTGAGTCTAGATATTCATTCCAGAAGTTTTACAGAGTATTTGTCAGACACTTAATTCACTCCTTTTCAACATTTGCATTTTCTTTGTGTCAAAATAATCTAATTTTAACTTTTTAACACAAGTAATTATTCTAGCCATGTGTGAAGCTAAGAACTTTGGTGAATGTACTATTGAGTTTATCTACGTCACTCCCGAATGGTCCCCGTCCTCAGGTGAACTATGATGGGGAACTGCACAAGCACCCGCAGCTGGAAGCTGATTTGTCGGCAGTGAGAGAGATATATGGGCCACATGCCGTTTCTCTCAGGTAAATAAATGCTTTCTGAGAAAGCATTTATCATTTGAGAAACCATTGCAGCTTTCCTACTGGAGTAACTTCAAGGACTTTCAATTATATTTGAATGTGAGAGATTCTGTTGTGTTTCTACTTATGCAAAAATGGCATATGGATGACTATGTTTTGTACACATAGTTTAAGTTTATGCTGATTGTAGTAAGGTAATTAGTTATTTTGGAGAGTTGTCTTGAAAGCTTGAAACTTTAAATTTAAATGCACCCCACTAGTATAAAAAGCTGAGACATATAATTAATAGACATAATATAATAGAATTCAACTTTTCACTCAAAATGCTTATTTTTGTCTAGAGGTTAACCATGGTATACAGTGATTACTTTCTAAAACATATTTCCATGTTTTCTGGCCTCAGTCATATTATCATGTATATAAGAAGTTGCTTTTTTACAAAGCATTTATTAAGCACCTATGGTGGTGATAGGTACAGTGATCCCATCACTCAAGAGGCAGAGGCAAGAGGCTTGTGAGTTTGAGGACAGCCTGGGTTAAATTATGAGACCATGTCGAGCCAACCAACAAAAACCCTACCCACACTCCTATGGTCCTCTGTATTTGTGTTCTCATATTATTAATGAAATTCATCATTATTGACTGTTGAAACTAGATAAATGAAGTACCTAAAGTAATAAGTAATTTGGATTATTTTCCTTTGTGTTTTTCACTTATAACAATTTTTATCCACTTTTTTTTTTTTTGGGCTGGAACTTGGGTTTGAACACCTCCAGTCCACTTTGCTCTGGTTATTTTTGGAGACAAGGTGTTGAATTATTTGCCCAGGCTGGTCTGGAACCTTGATCTTCTCAATCTTAGTCTCCCAAGTAGCTAGAATTACAGGCGTGAGCTACCAGCACTCTGCTCCAATGTAAATCTTAATGAACGTAAGCCACATAAATAAATGATCATGGTCTAAATGTGAATCACAGAAAAACTTGTTTGGTTTGCTTAAAATCAAATAAAAATTAATTTCCTGCCTACTCTAATCCTAAGACATGGAAAAGAGGTAGTTAGGCATAAGGTTTTGGAATCGTCTTCTTGCAAAGTTCTAAATCTATTGAAAACAGACTGTTCTAATTAGCTGTTCTTTTACTTAATTGAGTCTTATAAGAACTTAATGGACTTTGAAGAGCAAAAAAGTACCTCAATGTGCACAATAGGCTATTTGGTGTCAAAGTTTTTATGCGATATCTAATGAGAAAGGCAACTAACCACATCTAAGTTCCTTGTAAGAGGTGGAAATTACCGATTGATTGCCTAGACTGAGGCAAAACCTTTCTAAAAGTAGGCTAAAAGAAGATATAGGAAAACTAATTAATAGTAAATTTGTTACTTAAATAGGTAATGCCAGTCCTACCTGGCTATTCCATCTAATATTGAAATAGTGGCTGCATGGAACAACATGTAAATAAGCCTCTGATTCATAGTCTATGCAGTGGGAAGTGAATTCTGTCTCTGTGAAATAGAATTCCTGTGATCAGTCTAAATGTTTCATCTTAAATCATTTATCCATATGCTTTAGTATATGTTTTTAATTGTAAATGTACTTCTGTAGTTATACATTTATAAAGTAATATTCATTGGTTAGTGTCATTTGAATATAGTATTTATTATTATTATTTTACTGTGCTAAGGATCTAACCCCAGGCCTCATGCATCTAGGCAGGCACTTAGCCACTAAACTACATTCCTAGCCCCTGAATATTATATTTATGGTACTCACTTTTTGGCAGTACTAGGGATTGAACTCAGGGCATCACACTTGAATAGATAGGTGCTCTATCAATAGATTGATATTTTTAGAGTGGTCAAAGTTTTTGATTAGGAAAGAAACAATTACAATCTCATACAAAATATCCTTGTTTTGTGATCATTTCCTGTTTCATTATAAAAATTGAAGTTGTATGAGTAATCTAACCTTTGTTTTTATTATTGTGACTAATGCCTGATGTAGACTGGGAGCTCCCAAAGATTGTGAC